ACTTTATCTCCCCGGGAAAACTTTACTTATTTTGTCCCTTTTAAATTTTGGACGAATTACTATTCCATTCCCCCCCGAGGCATATTGGCACTTTGCATTATTTTATTAGCCTCCCCATAAGTCTTTAAACAATTCCTTTCAGTTGACGTCCCCCGGAATTGTCCAAAAAAATTGTTTGCCATTACTTTACTCAAGGTTTCATATGTTTAAGGGTGCTTTTATCGTCGCTTGAAGAGGAACGGACGGGATGTAGCACCAAAAAAAATACGCCCCTAAAGCGAAAGGTTTTCGGGTGAAAAGGGGTCCTAGAATTTCGCCCATAAGAAGTGGGTAAAATCCGGTCAGCCTTTTGTAAACCACTCTGGGAAAAGGCTTTCTTATGTCAGCCGTTAAAGGAAAATTTTCCCCCTGAAATTTAATAGATATCTCTTAATTTTTCCGTCAACGACGGACCTGTCATCAAACAGTCATTTAAATTGGTCGTTTTGTTCTTCTGGCACTACAATTAAACACAATTTCAGAGGAGTGGTCTTAGAAACCCTTTTTCACTCTGTGATGTGGCAAATAGTGACCATAAATTTTTTTGGTTTTTGGGCCTCAGGAGGTACCTCTTCTTAAATTTATGAATTAGCTGCTCAGTTTTTAATTCATTATAGGCATTTAAAAATTTCTGGTGTTTTTTATCAGTTCGCGGAGCAAACCCTTTAATTTGTCCAATGCCATTCTGTAATTATGGGCAATTCTGGATGGGTTCAGTCTCCAGGGAAATTTGTACCCGGGTTTTGCCCAGATTAAAAATTTTACTTCTTTTCAGGTATTGTTCCTGATTTAAAAAATTTCTTTCTAAATTTTTTTCTTCTTTTTACATTTTTTTCAATACTGTCAAATTTCCCAAAATTTTAAATTGCACTGGCTTAATACCATCCTTTATGGAAGAATTATACTGGGGTACGTTTTAAATGGAAAGACAAAATTTTAAATGGTTTTTTGTAGTTTCCTTAGTATAAATTTATTTTTTCGAGGAACCCTACCATACATTACATGGCCCCCTGCGTTTTTAAAAAAGGGGGGACCCCAAACATTTCTTTACCTTTACCCTTTACAAAGGGGCCATAAGGGGAAACAAACCAAATCAAAAAATTTTTTGGACCTACAGACACCCACTTACACCAAAGGCAAAAATTTCCATTTGTGAAAATTTCTGTAGTTTTTCAAACCCCCTTATTTGTGATATTTTCTTTTAGAATCTATTAAAATTTTACGCATTAAACGTTTTTTCTCATTCCCAAACCCTGACAGTTGCTAAACATTTGTCATACATTTGAGACCTTTTACCCGAGAAAAAACCCCAAGGAAAAATTTTAAAAAGTTGTGGGACCCCCCTTTTGTACTTTCTTACCATAAAGACTTTTCGTTTTATGAAAGTTTTGGGGGATCCCTGGGCCCAAAAAATGCATTTACTTTTTTTGTTTTAATGCCTTTTATCATTTTTTTTTTACCTTTTAAACACGGGTTTAAGGCTATTTCAGAAAAACCCTTCATTTTTAATATTAGCACCCAATTTTTACTTTTAGCTACTGTTGTGTCAGGTTTGTAAACCAATTATCATTTTATCAACTTTATCATATGCTCTTACACATACAATTTGGTGTTT